ATGTTAGATCATTCCTGTAAGTTCTGATGACTTTGTGCTATCTGCTCTTAAATGTGCCTAGTTTAGAAAAACAAAATGAAGTATGACACCTAGTGAAATTTGAATTTTACATAAGTAATAATTTAATCTAAGTATGCCCTGTGCAATATTTAGGACACACTTACTTAAATATTTGATTCTTTAGGAAAAAATTATTGTTTGTCTGAAATTCAAATGTAACTAAATGTCCTGTATCTTATCTACCAACCCTAAGACTGTACTGCCAGGAAGCAATGTGTGCACATGAGTGAGGCTGAGTAAGGGTGAATTTACTAACAAGTTGCTCAGGTCTCACCAAGTAACTCATTTCAGTCTCTTTATGTCTTTGTTCTTAAATTTCCCAGAGCAGGGTACTCCAAATTTCCCATCCTAGTGAGTACAGTCCTGGCTGCCAGTGCTCTAGGAGCCAAGCGGAGGAAGAACACTGAAAGCTTATCATCTTAATTACCATCAATTTCAGTACAGTACCCTAGCTTTGAGTTAAGTCGATGCCCTAGGTTAAAGATGGATGCAAGGCCAGGCATGGTGACTCACAGCTATAATCCCAGCTACTCAAGAGGCAGAGGTAGGGGAAGATCTCAGTTTGAGGCCAGCTGAGGCAAAAAGCTAGTGAAAACCCATTTCAACCAATAAAACTGGGTGTGGTGGTGTATGTCTCTCATCTCAGCTATTCGGGAAGCATAAATAGGAGGATAGTGGGGCAGGCTGGCCCTGGGCAAAAATGGGAGAGCCTATCCCAAAAATAACTAAAGCCAAAAAGGGCTGGGGGAGTGGCTCAAGTGGCAGAGCGCCTGCCTAGCAAGCATGAGGCCTGAGTTCAAACCCCAGTACCACAAAATAAAATTATAAAAAAAGAAGATGGTTACAAAGTCTTTGCACACACACACACACACACTCACACACACACACACACACACACACACACACACTCAGGGAGGAGCCTAATTCTCCTTCCTTGAAACTGGGCTGAACTTAAAGGCTTTCATGACCTAGAGAATGTGACAGTGTTCAATAGCTTCCAAGCCTGGATAATAAGAAGTCTGGTAACTTATGCCTGGATCTCTGAGAGGATTCTTTCCGGAAACCCTGTGGTGAGGAGAGGGCATGTGCAGTGCGCTCAGTGAGGCTGAGATCAGCCTTCCACTTATCCTTGTCATAGTGTCAAATATGTGAGGGAATCCTTTAGATGGCTGAACACTGCCAGCCAACTACACAGAATGACCCACATCAACCCAGGCCCCATGGCTCATGTTTGTAATCCAAGCTACCTGGGAGACCGAGATTGGGAGGATCTAGGTTTGAGGCCAGCCCCAGCAAATAGTTCATGAGACTCCATTTCCAAAATAACCAGAGCAAAAATGGATGGGAGGTATGGCTTAACTGGTAGAGTGCCTGCTTTGCAAGCACAAAGCCCTGAGTTCACACCCTGGTCACACACACACACACACACCCCACACACCTTCTCACACACTTACTCTCACACACTCACACACACATACACACTCACACACTCTCACACTCAGATACATACACACTCTCACACACTCACACTCACACTCTCTCACACATACACACATATATGCAGTCTCACACATTCTCTCACACAAACACACTTACTCTCACTCACAGACACAAACACATACACTCACGCACCTTCACACATACTCTCACACACTCACACACATACACACAATCTCTCACACACTCACACACATACCCACATACACACTCACACACATATTCACACTCACACACATTCTCACACTCAATCACAAATACAGTCACGCAATACACACTCGTGCACACACTCACACACATACATGCTCACACTCACACAATACACTCTCACACACTCAAACACTATCACACTCACACACATACACACTTTCACACACATACACACTCTCACACGGACACACTCATACCCACACACACTCACCCACACTCACACACTCTCTCACACACTCACACATACTCACACACATACTCACACACATACACACTCTCACACACATACACACTCACACACTCACACACATACACACACACAATACACATTCTCACTCACACATACACACACTCACACACACACAGGTGACCCTCATTGATGCCTCATGGAACAGAATCACCCAGCTAAGCCCTGTTCCAATTCCCACACAAGCATGAATTGTAATACAATGGTGATACTAGTCATTTTTTTCATTCACCAATTGTTGGGTGGTTCATTAGGCAGCCTTTGATAACCAGAACGCCTTGACCACACCTGGTGCCCATTTCAGAGACCCTCGTCTTCATCCCTTCTGGAGAACACATGGTGGCGGCCATGTAGGAGGGGATGGAGGACACCAGCTGCTGCCTGGATAGGCTTACAAGGAATCCTCCCAGTCTCAGGCTTACCTGAAACCTTTTGCAGCACCTGGCACAGCAAACTCCTTGCTCTCCTGAGAAATCCTACACTCTTGTGGCTTCTTGCCTTTCCCTGCTCCTGGAGAGGAGCAGACTTTCTGAGTCAGTTGTCACCTGTCTCTCTGCTCTCCAGGTTCCAGAATTTTGTTATTACTTTTCTTCTGTTGTTCCCTTGTCCTTGAGATTTTTGACTTGTTTGCTTTTATGTGGCGTTAGTGATAGAACCCAGGCCTTGTGGATGGCTAGACACGCACTTTATCTCCAATCTACATCTTTACTCCATTGTGAGAGTTAAAAGCAAAAAATATTTTTGCTTAATTCGATTTCAAGAGGGATCTGAGGTAAATATATGTATTCACTATAGTGTGTTTTTGGTTTTTCAGTACTGGTGTTTGCACTCAGGGCTTCTCACTTGCATTGTACTTGAGCCATGCCTCCAGCCCTTTTTGCTCTGGTAATTTTGGAGACAGGGTCTTGCTTTTTGCCTAGGTCAGCCTGGATGGAGATCCCCTGATTTTAAGCTTCCTGCCGTCATATCACTAGGATGACAGGCACGCCACGATGCCCAGCTTTTTTCTGTTGAGATGGAGTCTCAAGAACTTTTGTGCACGACTAGCCTGGAACTGCTATCCTCTGGATCTCAGATCTCACTCTCTTGACTTGGGATGACTGGTGCCAATCAGCATGCCCAGCTATTGGTTGATTTGGGGGGTCTCACAAACTCCCCACTTGGGCTAGCCTCTAATTGCTATTGCCCCCACACCCCTCCTCCCTTTTTTGTTTTTTTCTCTGAGTACTGGGGTTTGAACTCAGGGCCTCACGCTTACAAGGCAGGCACTCCACTTGAGCAACTATGCCAGTCCTGACTTGCATTGGGTTTTTTCGAGATACTATCTCCTGAACTATTTGCCCAGGCTGGCCTTCAACCTCCACCCTCCTGATCTCTGCCTCCCAGAAGCTAGGATTACAGGTGTGAGCCACAGGTGCCCAGTTCACTCTGGTGTCCTTAATAAGGATTTTAGGGTCTTTAATTTTAACAATTCTATTAATGTTTAAAATGTCCTGTCTCAGATCAGGTTTTGTAGTCACAGAGGCCTTAATAGGTGTTCTTGTGCAAGTGCCTGAAGCAGGACATTCTCAGGACAGCCTGGTAGGGTCTGAGAGCAGGAAGTAGGAAGGGGCCTGGGAGACGCTGGCAAAGAAGTGTTCTTGCTGCAGTTTAACCTCAATACCACCTCAGAGACAGAGTGCGAGCACTGGCCACATTTAGTCCTGGCCTTTTGAACCCCATAAAAGCCTGTATTTGTGCACCTCTAGCCCTTTGAGAGAAGAGGCAGCAGGGGACTGGGCGCACCTACCTAGCCAAGATTACCTCTACTGGGTGCTAACAGCATCTGTTAGTTGTTCCTACCTTGATTTTTTTCTCTGTACCTAATTGTTGTTTTGTTGTTGTTGTTTTTTAAGAATTCAAGTCCTTCTACTCTTATAGAAGAAGCAAATTATCCTTATTGCATCCTTTTTCTCTTGTTTGCCCTGTTAATTTTGTTTCCTCAAGGTCAATTCCTAAACTGAAATTTAGAACCATTTAGGTTATCAAACATGAAGGGACAGAATCAGGACCAGATCCAACCTGATCTGTTCCTAAAACTCATGCCTGTTAGCCACATCAAACCTCCCCCAGCTACACCTTCACGATACAATCTAACGCTATCTCCTGGCTTTAAAGGTGCTAATAACCACTTGGATTTTGTTCTGCTGTATGGCAAGCATTATCCAAAGCTCCCTAGCCAATGTGTTCTTTGAAATCAAATATTGCCTGTGATGCAACAGCTTCATCCTTTAATCATTCAGGGGCACCTACTATGTGCCAGAAAAGGGCGTGGGTGCAAAGATGACCTAACCTAGTCAGTGGCTTGTGTCCAGCAGGGGAAGCAGATAAGAACACTCGAAAGCGCATTGCAAGGCGCGACCCCCGGGAGCCACCGACAGGCATGGGGCACCGCTCCCCAAGGGCTCCTGCCGGGGCCCCAGGAAGGGACGTGAGGAACCGCGGAGAAGGTTTTGGACTGCGTGTTTTAATGTGAAAGCAGGAAATGAAGGGTGTCGTGCAGATTTCTCTTTCTGCTCTTCCAGCCCTTGGTTGGGCCTGAGCCCGCGGTGACAGACAGTGCAGTTCGCGGGGGAGGAGGCTGGGGTTACTCTGGAGCTGGGCGCAGGGAGGAAGCGGCGAGGTCGCAGGGCCCGGCCCTCCGGGATGTGGGGACACCGAGGTTCCACTGCTTCCACTCTGCGGGGCAGGAGCCGGGCTGGCGGTGCGGGGCGGGTAGTGCGATTCCCGCAGGAGCGCGTAGCAGGGACCCCAGGACCCCGGGACCCCGGGACCGGCGGGCGCCTGGGGCGCGGGCACGTGCGGGACGCAGTCCATCGCTCCTGGAGCCACAGTCGCGGGCGGGGACTCCAGGTGCGCCTCTCCCTGGGAGGGACTTTCCAGTCCTGTGGGCAGAGGGACAACCAGGAACTCGGGCTCAGTCTCCACCCCGCAGTGGGGCGGATCCTCCGGGGATAAGACCCGCTGCCGGGCCTGGACAAGGGTGTGACCGCAGACGACGAGCGCAGCCCGGGCTCTGCACGAGAGGTAGGGGCTGGGGACCGGGGACCCCGGGCTCCGGGAACCGGCGACTGTCGGGGGTGGGGGTGTCGCCCAGTGCCCAGCAAGGGGCGCCCGCCCCTGCCCTGCGCCCGCCGGGAGGCCACTGGGTGGGACGCGGCCCGCGGGCCGGGACTCGCTCCTTGGGCAAGGGAAACACCGCCCATGACGCCCCAAAACGCAGGGTACGATCCAGGACACTCCGGATGCCAGGCAGAAACCTGGCAGTTATTTGAGTGCATGGGCTGGGCTTGGGGATTAGAAAAAGAAAGGATTGAGTTCCTACTCACCCGAGCTAACTCAGCCTCACAGCACTTTAGTTTTACTTTTTCATTCTAAGAAACTTACTTCTTTCTTCTAGTCTCTTATTTCTCTCCTCCTGCATGTGCCTGGCACATAGGAATCTTATTATTGTGAGCTCCATGACTTCTGTCTGCCAGTTGCACAGCCTCACACTTTCTTCCTGACTTTGACAAGCTGAGACTTTGGGGCCAAAGAGGATGACTTTTATTTAACACCCTGTTGGCCTGTGATTCCCCAGTTGGTTTCAAGCACTGTGAGTCCTGAGTAACCCCTTTTATGAAAGGTGGACATCTGTTTCCTCCAGCTGACAGAAGGATGGGTAAGGTGCCTGCCTCCCAATTATCCACCCCCTGCCCATCAACTCCAGGACATCCCACACCCTCTTACACTGCAAGTAACTCTATTAAGCCGTGTTTCTTTAATTGCCAGTGAATTCTCAGAGAATGGAGAAGCAAGCAGGAGGGGACAGGAATGAGAAAATGGTAAATACAGCCACCTAAATGACTGACTTCCCACTGCCCTATCTGGCCCAGGCCAAATCAGAACAGATTTCTGTTGATTTGGGGACACACACACACACACATTCACACACACCCCTATATACACAGACACACAATTGCTGGATCAAAGGCATATATGGCTATTCCCTAGACCTTCTTGCACTTGGGATACTTTTTCTCTGAAAGCAATTTAGAAAGTAGTGCACACAGTCCAGTTGGACCACACCAGCCCTCAGCACTTAAAAGATGAGCCTCAAGTCACCCCAGACCCATGTCCTGTGGTACCTTTCTTTATGTCCACCCACTCTTTCATTTTCCTGATTTCGCTTATCTGCCTATAGACTAAACCTGCTCTTCTATGGGGAAAACCAAGGTGAGTGGTGGGCACTGGGAAAGGTGGACCATGCGCCAAGGATGCTGTAGAATACACGAGGGATTTTCCTTGGGTGTCAATTTTGCTCAACTATTTCAGGATTAAAACACTTTTTATATTAAAATAATCGCAGTTAAATTTTGGAACACAATCCAAATGAATCTAAAACAAGAAACTTCAAAAAAAGATTGCTTGGGCTTTGGGCTGCAATTTTGTGCAAGCCTGTCCCTTAATGTTTTTTTCACTGCAGTTACGGCTACTTGCAGAGGCAATTGCCAGGACACTGCCATGTCCTCCCTGGAGCAACTCTGTGATGATGGTCATCCCAGGCCCTTTGCTTAATCTTCACTTCTGACCAAGATGTGTTATTTACTTTGTTTTACAGATAAGGACTCCAAGGCCCCAGGTCATGGTGCTTGGTCCAGGTTAGACCACTGGGGACTGAGGCTTAAATCTAGCTTTGAATACCAAAGCCTGTTCTCTTATCCTCTCTGCCCTACTATGACTTTGTTAGTGTTTGGTTCTTAAAGATTTGGGTTTGGATTTGTGGATCCTGGCTTATTAACTATGTGTTGATCAAATGTTTTTCTTTTCTTCAAGTTTCAGCTTGTTAAGGTGACATGTGACATGTTGTTGAAAGAACTAGACCTGCTTCCATAGAAAGGGAAGGCTACCATGTGGCTGGGTTGGGGGAGGGGTTGATGGATGTTAGTGGCCCTAACTTCTTGAGGGGCTTGCCATGTGGGCGATGCAATAAACTCACTCTTTGTGGCATTGGGGATTGCAGGGCAGGAGTTTTTGAATGGTGGGCTCTCGCTGAATTTGAAGAAGTGACTTTTGAAACCCATAGGCTGGGTGACCTTGGGGTTGGTTACAGCCCTCTCATGAGAAGTGTCTAGGCAGAGGCTCTGCTGCCTTTTTCTGATGGAGCTATGAAGGGCTCCTAAAACTTTACTTCCCTAACTTCAGGATGCACTCAAATACCCCAGCAAGTGTGTAAAATATGCAGATTCTTGCCACACTCTTTTTTGAGACAGGATCTCAGTATGTAGCCTAGATTGGCCTTGAATTCATGTTCCTCCTACCTCCGCCTTCCAAGTGCTGGGATTACAGATGTGCACCACTGCACACTACAGGTCATGCCCCAAAATTCTGATCCAGTTTACATATTGGGATCCAGGAATCTGTATGCTTACCAGGTTCCCAAGATGGTTGTGATACAGGTGTTAATAGGACCCTACTTCGAGAGGCTATACTTAAGAAACACTTCTATGAATGTGTACATATTTGATAAGTTGAATAAAGTATTAAAAAGTTTTTTGACCTTTCACTTAGAGCTGGTGTTTTTTGGTTTTTGGTGGTACTGAGGTTTGAATTCAAGGCCTCATGCTTGCTATGAGTTTCTGGCATTCTGCCAGAAACTTCGCCTATCACCCTGCTACAAACTCTAGGCAATTTGTCTATGCAATGACATGAATACTAAAGCCTTCTTGTTCTCAAGGATAGTTCTTTGTTATACTGGTCCATCTTCTTTCTGATATGACTAACAACAGATTTTTTTGTTCACTCTAAACTCAACCCCGTCTTACAGTGCCTAACACCTCTAGACCTTTAGCTGAAATTATAAGCTTGTTGTTGTTGTTTAGCCTAATTAAAACAGAAATGGATTAGTACATTCAGATTATTTTCCTTAGAAATTTAGGATACCTGGCAAAGGCCTGTTTTTTTTTTCTTTTTTAATTTTTATTTTATGAGACTTAGGATGGTATCTTCATCCAGGATTTATTTATTTATTTATTTATTTATTGTTGTGCTGGGGGTATATTGTGGCATTTACAAAAGTTGTTACAATATAACAAATATATCATAGTTGAATTCACCCCCTCCATCATTCTCCTTTATCACCCCTCCTCCCCATTGTTGGTTTTATGGGGAGAAATTTGTTAATGTTTGACTGTCTTTGAACTGGATTGAAAGATTTTGCTATGAAAACCTAAACCACCACCCTTGAAAAATTCTTCTTAAAGGTTCAAGTTGCTTGAGGTCAGTAAATTGCCATCTGGCTTCTTGGTCCCAACTGCCTGATGTAAAAACTAAAATGTTATATCCACAATCAGCAGGAGGGATGAAGGCAGCTAAAGGCCAGACTATAGATCCATATGTAAAAAATCTTCCATGTCGCACCACATCTAACCTTTTAGACGTAGCTACAACAGAGCATGTCACCCCTCCCTGTACCATACCCACACTGTGAATCATTCCTCCAGGTCAAGGGATTCGTCCTCCTGGAGAGGTAGATTGCAGATCATTACCAGAAGCTAGCGTGGAGGGGCCCTGTGGTTGCTGGAGTGGGTTCTCCTGATTCATGTGTAATTGAACCCTTTCCCCTGGAGAACGGAGCAGGTCTTTACAGATACCAGCCCCTAGCATCTTCTCTCTGACTCCTCTCCAGGTTGCCAAGGAAAGCATTTTCTAGATTCTGCCTAGTGTCAGCTTCTGCAGTCACTTTGTTTCAATGCGGTACGAGGACCTATTGCCTCAATGGTTTTCATTCTTCTTAGAGCCACAGAACCCTGTAAGAATGAAATTGAAGCCATGGATCCCTCTTGAGAAAAATAAACACATACTTTACATTTTTTTTCATACACTTTTAAGGGGTTTAGAAACACCCTTCTAAACCCAATCAGGGATATCTAGAAAATACCCAGAGATTATGTTAAGAATTGCCCTGAAATTTGTCAAAGTAAAAAAGAAAAAATGCATTTCCTTTGTTCTAGTAGTTTCAATTCAGGGAGTTTATGGGCTGGTGAAGTGTCTCAAGTGGTAGAGCCTGCTTAGCAAACATGAGGCCCTGAGTTCAAACCCTACTACCACCAAAAAACAAAACAAACATGCTTATCAATGAAGGGAGTTTATCCTAAAGCTTTACTTGAATTTATGTGTAAAGACATGTGTATAAGGAGGGATACATTGCAGCCTTATTTTAGTAGCAAAAGATTGGAAAGGATATAAATATCTACCAGCAAAAGAAAGGTTAAATTATGGAACAGCGATGCAGTGCTGTTCTGTGCAGCTGTTAAAAATGGATACAGGTCGATAGGCACTGATAGAGAATGATAGAAGTACATTGCTTTTCCTGTTTTGAAAAGCAGAGTACAGCTTTGCTTGCTACCATTTCTGTATACAAAAATGATGGAAGTTGCCTGTATTTTTCTATGCTTGCTAATACATTAAATACTTCTGGGAAGAGTCACAGGAAACTTGTAAAACTGGCTGCCTCAAACGAGTGTGAAAGAGTGACAAACTTATATACTTTTGTGTACTATTTAATTTGGTTAGATTCATGTAGTATCTATTATTATTATTTTTGGCAGTACTGAGGTTTGAACTCAGGGCCTCATGCTTGCTAGGCAGGCCCTCTACCACTCGAGCCACACCTCCAGTCCCTTTTGATTTAGTTATTTTTCAGGTAGGGTCTTGAGTGTTTTGCCCATGTAGCCTGGACTGTGATTCTCTTGCACGGTAACTGGGATTACAAGCCTGCAGCACCATGCCCATGTTGAGATGAAGGTCTGTCGAACTTTTTGGCCTCAAACCATGATCTTTCCTATCTCACTGTCTTGTGTAGCTAGGATTATAGGCTTGAGCACCTGTATCTGTTATTTTTTTTAAGTAGAGAATTACAAATATTATAAAGAGGGAGAATAACATGGATATGAGTAATATATGGAAAATATCAGATTTTCCAACCTCAAGATCTGATCCTATACTTCCTTATTTGTATACAAAGAGTTAACATGAATTACACTTCA